TCAAATTCAATTTTCTCCCGAAAAATTTTACGGTAATTACTGATTTTCAAATGAGTTGTGCTCCTGCGGGTTTTAACCATTTTTTCTCAAATTTTCACAGGTCATAGCTAAATACGTTAGTTTCAAAATTGTGTTCGGCTTTTTTTTAATTTTGGATATTTTAAAAATAAAGAGCAATTCACTCAAACAATTCAGAAATATATTGCAGTCGTCAAAGAAATCGCCATATCAGCGGAATGACGAAATAAACAAAAATTTCCGAACATAATTTTTTAGAACAACTATTTTACTGTATAAAAATGATATTTTCATAAATATAACTTAAAACCAGCAGGAGCACAACTCAAACGCGTAACGGTACCGCGATTTAAGATTTTCCTGAATAATTCTTACATTATTTTATTGTTTGTTAATTTTACAACTTTACCATATTTTGCATGCACTGGAGAACATTTGGTGAAAATTTGATGAAGATCGGACTGATATTGAGCGCGCAGTAGCGATTTTCCGCAAAACGGCAAAAAGGGTGTCCTGTAACCTTAACCCTAACCCCTGCCGAAGCTTGCTCAGTGGTGCTGCTTGCACCCCACTACAAATTTTTCCACCCCTCCTTTAAAAAAAATGAAAATCCACCCTTGCTCATCCACTCGTTCACATCCATCGGAAGAAAAAAATTGCTGCAAAAATTTCAAGTTCAAACGGCCCTTAAGGTTTCTTACAAAATCATGGTGGTTTTCTTTCATGTAGAAAGTGTTTGAGATGATGGCAACACAAGGATTTAGACTGAGTGCCAGTTTACGTAACACTTACTACAGAGGTCTCGCTTTTACAGCCAAAGAATGGTAAGATCTCACTTATAGTAATAATCCAATTAGTTAATCATGTTTGTTTCTTTTGCTCACGCGAACAAACGTGGTCAAAGTTCTGCCTAAAATGTTCTACTATAAAGGGCTGTTCGCATGATCCCACTTTGCCCGGGACGAGATGCGAGGCGGGACATTATTTTCCTCGTGATAGAAAATAATGTTTGTCTTTGACTAAAACTATCGTTAGGAATTAGGTGATACTTTTTCGCTGAATCGAATGGTGGTTTTCAATTAATTCGCAATTTAGCTTTACTGTAATGTAAAACTAAATGTAGTTTAGCTTTACTGTATCAAATGACTGCTCAATTAAACTCACAAGCTGACACATCTCTTTTTATTTCAGCTACGAAGTTGACCAACTGTTTGCGAATCTTCCGCCCAACCGTTCTCCTCCGGATAAATACTGAGGGAGGAATGAAATGGTGATGATACTTGATGATAGAGGTTTGATTTGCGTAAGGCAAATAGTACATGCTGTATGCTTGTTGATGCCCAGTTCGCCAATTCAAAACTCACATGCCTCGCTGTACTTTGGACGTATAACAAAATATGGACTGGGTAGTTAAAATATTTTTTGGGAAGCTAAGAATAACTCTCGAAAAGTGATCAACATGTATTTTATCACATGTATTTTATATGAAGTAAATTACTACACCTATTGACTTCCACACCGGTGAATATAATTATGCTGGCAATGCAAGAAAGTACATTAAATAATAATCCAGCATCATGAGAATCAAGAAGACGAAGAGAGCCAGACCACTGATGGAGACGGAAATTTATATAGGATTATTGGAAGTGAGGTCGGGAAATTATAGTAATGCTATATACAAAAAGATGTTGTGTTTGCAGTGATTAGGGATGAAGTATGGGAGCAGCCACTCACTGCGAGATTAGGAACGGGACTAATATCACCCCAGGATCAGATACAGATCACCAATACCATGCACTACCCCTATCTTTCGTATATGTATGCAGTTTTAAACGCCAGCTATATATAGCGCTAATAACATACTTCAAACTTTACATTCGTATTTCAATGTCAGACATTGTTGTTGAAACAAGTATAGTGCAATATCGCGGCTTAACAATTTCCATGATCATTGTAATCGGTTTGGTAAGGTAGCTGTTCCCTCGACTTGTGTTGTGATGTGGTATAGTATTTTGTTTTGAGAATTCAAAAACATTGGAACGTATAATAATTGTCAAATATGTGTGGGAAAAGCAGACCTCTCTAAGCTGGTAGACACTAAATTCCACTAGCCCCCCCCCCCCCCCCCC